GGGAGGCCCCGGGGAGGCGGCTCCGGTATCCGCGGGGCTCCGGAGGTCTCGGGGTGCGGGTGGCGAATCTGCGGAACGGCGGCGAGCGCTGGGCCGGGGAGCCGCGTGGGGACCGGAACGGCACCGGGAACGGGACCGGGAACGGGAACGGGACAGAGAAACGGTACCGGGAACGGGACAGAGAAACGGGAACGGGACCGGGAACGGGAACGGGAACGGGAACGGGACAGAGAAACTCACTCGGGACCGGGATTAGGATCGGACCGGTACCGGCACCGGGAACGGGACCGGGACAGAGAAACGGGAACGGGAACGGGACCGGGATTAGGATCGGACTGGCACCGGGAACGGGAACGGGAACGGGAACGGGACAGAGAAACGGGAACGGGACCGGGAACGGGAACGGGACAGAGAAACCCACTCGGGACCGGGATTAGGATCAGACCGGTACCGGGAACGGACCGGGAACGGGATTAGGATCGGACCGGCACCGGTACAGGGGCTGGGAACGGGATCCGGACCGGGACAGAGAAACCCTCTCGGGACCGGGATTAGGACCGGACCGGGATTGGGATCGTTATCCGGACCGGGACAGAGAAACCCACTCGGGACTGGGACCGGAACCGGGACCGGGAGTCCCACGCGGGTACGGAACCGGGATCGGGAGATGTGCGTGGCACCGGCAACGGGGCCAGAAACGGGACTGGCACAGGGAACGGGACCGGGAATCCCACCCGGGATCGGGACCGGGAATCCCACCCGGGATCGGGAATGCGACCGGGAATCCCACCCGGGACCGGGAATCCCACTCGGGACCGGGAATGGGACCGGGAATCCCACTCGGGACCGGGAATGGGAACGGGACCGGGAATCCCACCCGGGATCGGGACCGGGAATCCCACTCGGGACCGGGAATCACACCCAGGACCGGGAATGGGACCGGGAATGGGACTGGGAATCCCACTCAGGACCGGGAATCACACTCGGGACCGGGAATCCCACTCGGGAGACCCAAATGGAATCTGGGACAGGGAATCCCACCCGGGACCGGGAACGGGACCGGGAATGGGAATGGGAATGGGACCGGGAATGGGAATGGGACCGGGACCGGGAACGGGAATGGGAATGGGAACGGGAATGGGAACGGGAATGGGACCGGGACCGGGACCAGGACCGGGAATCCCATCTGGGATCTGGATCGGGAACGGGGCCAGGACCGGAATGAGATCGAGAAAACCACCCGGGAACTGGATTGGGACCGGGACCGGGAATGGGAACGGATCCAAGATTCCCACCCGGGATCTGGATCTAGTTTGGGAACGGGAATGGTACCGGGACCGGGACCGGGACCGGGACCCCCTTGGAGCGCTCACCCGTCTTTTCCCCCATTTTCTCCCTTTTTTCCTCCCCTTTTCCCGATTTTCCCCTTTTCCCGTTTTTTTCCAGCCGCTCCATGGCCGATCCCATCCCGGTTCCCGTGGCACTCCTGCGCCTCCCGCGGGGCCCCGACGGCTCCGGCGGCCGCGGCTTCTCCCGGGACTCCCGGAGCGGGGCCCATTCCCGGGACCGG